ATTCCTGCTTTGTTTTTGCGCTTGGGTTGTTGGGCTGTTCCAGCCGTTGTGGGTCATATGCTTGAAATGTAATTGGGCATAAGTCCTACAGCTGCTTGATGTGTTCACACAGCTTTTTACATTGCTTTTATGGAGTTAAAAGAAGCTGAAATTACATGTATGCATCTAGATGTGCCTGTAAGCTTCTGAGCCAACTTGAAGTCGAGGTGGGGGAGCAAAACAGACCTCAGCATTTTGTCTGGACCATCATATTTTAAAATGTAGTTAGCTTGCCTGATTCTGAACACAGATGCGTTGGCATCTACACAGGGCCTGATGCATTTAAAACATCTCAGTTAACCATGGTCAGTATTAGGTGATAGCATATTATGTATGTTCGAATATAGCTTTGTTTCCCAGTCTAAATGCAGGACATTTCTGACTTTCTGTGTACCTCAGAAAAAAAAAGCCCTAGCATTCTATGCAAGGAATGCATTTTTTTATCCCCTGCTTTGCTGCCTCTTTTGAGTCCAAGGCTAATTCTTTTATCATGCTGACATTGTTACATAATGATGTGTATTGATTGACTGGTACTTGAAAAGGTTGTCTCATCTATACAGTGCCAGCAGCAGGTCAGAGGTTGGACAGACAAATCCTCTGCAAGTAAAAACTTACTATCCATATCATACTATGTATACAAAATAAAATGTAACAATGGAAATGAGAGGAGGTTAAAAAAGAAGGAAGGAGCTGTTCTATAAGCTTTGCATTGGCTTTGTTATTTAATATTTGTTATGTATTTAAACTTTATTTGGTTCTTTGCATAGGACTCCGTTATCTGATAAGTTAACCCATCACCTAAAAGGAGTTTTAGGGCTAAGAAGACATAAAAAGATGGCTGCAGCATGAAAGAAGGCCAGGGAAGAAATTTTGCAGTGCTCCCACATGTATCTATGAGATATAAAAAGCAATTCTTTGTCCTAAATGATGCCATTTAAAATAATATCCATCTGGATGAAAGCAAGAAAAGGAGACAGATCAGAAAATGTGTTGTTTAATCATCTGCTGCAGCTTGCTCGTCACCTGCCCATCATGGACGCTTGATTAGTTCCTACCGCCAATTGTTCTGTTTTGTTTTCTAGATGCTCTCACTGTATTAGGTGACACAGAGAGCAGTAATACCAGCATATCATGTGGAGAGAGGATGCACGAGTGAGAGGGAGATAAAGTGCTTAGTGACCACATTATTTTTCCTTGTAATACTTAGCATACTTGCCAGAAAACAAAGGAAAATTGCTGAAGAGTATCTTGCTTTAAACCAAGAAACAAAGATTGGCTCCAATATAAAAAGTATGTGTCTAATTTGTTTTTGAGGAATGAAATCCCTTTCTTTGTGGAAGTAGTGAGCTTTCACTGGCACAAGGTAGTGTGAAGCATCATGCTACATTGAATAGGACTGTGTATTCATATGAAGATCACTGGAATTCATAAAATACAGATATCCTCACCTTTCCTCCCCTATTACCATTTCCCTTCTTGAAAATTTTAGTATTTATAGCCTTATATTTAGTGTATTTATAATATATTATATTTATGGTCTTATACTTAGTATTTAGTCTATTGTCTGAGGAAGAAAGTGACAACCTCTAATCTGAATGAAGGCTTCTACACATGCATGCATTTTACATGCATCTTAAACGCATATGTATGTATGCATACACTGTATTTCATCAGAGCTATTGAAAGTGGATTCCATTAAAAAATGTAAAGAGTTGAATTGTGAAGAAAAATACGCATAAAGGAGTCCCAGAAAAGTAAGCTACAAAGTAAGCCACTCACATATCCTGTTGGATTTGAATATATAAAGACAGTAGTTATTTCTAAAATATATTAATCTGAGATAGTGAACAAGAAATTATGTTTCTAGAACATGTTTCTTTCTAAGATGAAAGCAACTTTCTGACATGAATCACGCTAAATCTGTGCGGAAAGCAGGGAGTAAGTTTTATCTCATACTATTTTAATGCATAAGAAAAAAACTACAGTGTATCTTGTCATCATCTTAGAGAAGATTTATGAGGCCTTCATGCAAGATCACTGAGTATATGTAATGAAATCCTTAGCAGGTTTAAAATTGGGAGTTAACAAAAGGTCAGTTTTGCAGTATGTAATTTAGTCATTGGAATTACCAAGGGAAATTTCATAACATTACGTTTTAGCCAATCATAGCTATAATTGGAGCGTGTTCTTTTGTCTGTGAGCACTGCAATGGAAAAATATGTTTGTAACTATCTATAAAGAGAGAAGACTGCTTTTTCCACCATTTTTTCATGGCAGGTTCAGGTGTACCGTTGTAAAGCAATTACAACTCCCTATGATTTGTTAGTAACAGGTCTGCACCCATATATCCTGTAAACATGGTTGAGTAAAACCTCAGGAGTGAGCTAGCCTCAGTGCAAACTGAAACGGGCTTAGGATCTTATTGAAGTAATTTCATTCTTCAGCATCCTTTACAAAGCTCTTCAGTCTATCACTTTCTTTCCAACTTTAGACCTCTAATCCTTTAGGTCTGGTAAGCTGGGAGTTCTGAATGCAGAGGCTAACGTGCATCACTTCAAGAAATCCTTCTTCTCAGTGATTGAAAACACCAATTTCCATTCTGTGATCTGTCAAGTGTGTCAGCAGAAGTCTGTTCTCCCTGGTCTGGCTATATATCCTGAAATGAAAAAGCCAAAAATAGCTAGTTCTCCATCAAAACTTCTTGACTAAAGCTCATTTTTCTGTAGACTGCAAAGCATCCTGCTGTTTCTTCCAAGATTTCACAGCTTTTGGTCATAGCTGAATTCAACCTGTGAGCAATTATGCAAATTCACCCTGAAAAATTATTTTCTTAGCACAGGGGAGTCAGGTATTTGAAAAGATGTTTGAATTCCTTGACAGCTCTAGATTTTAAGTACAAAGGGCAAATTTGTTGGTAACTACCGTGATAAACAGAAATAAATATTTATCTGAAGAGGAGGAGAGAGAAGTGTGAAGGGTTTTTAATTTGTGTCTACCCTTTTAGCATGAATCTTAGCTGGTGATCAGGAAGTGATCACTTACACCTTGAACTAAGAAGGATGGAAGCTGTTGCATTGCAAGCTGGTACCTGGACAGGTACATTAGGTACAGGTACAATAGACATTAAAAACTGCTGGGAAGGGGAAGCATGGTATAATGAATTATATATTACAAACTAGATTCAAGGCAGCTAGAGACAGCTTCTCGGAAATTATACGGTTGTTAGTCCTTGCTAATCATGTGATATTTTGAATGTATTCATTAGGAACCTGCCTTTTATTTACATTTTAAACAAGCATGATATTGGTGATGTGCTCCACATTTATTTGCCTTTTGTGTGGCTCTTCACGCCAGGAATACAAGGTGTTGTGGAGGCTTATCAGAGCTGCCTTCCCAAGCTGCAGCTGTATGGGCCGACAAACATTGCTCCCATCATCCAGAAGGTGGCAAAATCGGCATCAGAGGAAACCAATACCAAGGAGGCCTCGGTAAGAGGATAATGCTGTGTTTGGCCTTTTTCTTATGGTGGATTTCTTGTGGGCCATCAAAACAAGGCCTTTTCATGTATGTGAATCATGTCTTCCCAGTTTTCACTAACTGCCTTCACAGAAGGCAGCTTGAGTCTGTGTCGGCTGGAGCAGTGTATCTAGCCTTTATAGCTTTGGTAGTCACAACCTTAAACTCTTCCCCCACTGTTCTGTTTCCTGCTTTTAGAGCTGTTTTACTGTAACACACCCAGTTTTTCACTGTGGAAACATAAATGGCACCGCTAAGGTTACAAAAATTTAGATGCCAAGCCCTAAAGTGTTGGATCATACAAGAAGATGAGTTCAAATGTTTCCCTACACAGACTACCCAATTTCACGTCTCTAGCAGAGGCTGTACTAAAACTTTTTTGTTCAACTAGGGGATTTTTTCAACCATTCTTTTGAAAACTGTAGTGATACAGTTTTCAGTTTGCTATTACTGACATGGAGTATCATGTGCCTTTTAGAAATCAGGAGACAAGTCTGTTAGTCTGCATCTGATACAAAGCCCATGACAGATTTCTTGGGCTAAAAGACTTAAACATAGATCGTGTTTTAAATGTAAGTCTTTGAAATGCATTCAGCTTATTTTTCTCCTGCCTTCCAGACAGAATGGGAGAAAGGCAGAATGAGAGAATTGGAGAGAGTATGTGAGCGAGTAGGTCTGAAACATTTACAAGAGCAGTGCTGTGGGATTAAAGGATGTAAGAGACGACTTGTATACTGCAGCAAGAAAAATGCCTATATATAGGAACAGAATAGAGCTGTGCATTGGTGTGCATCTCATCACCAAGCCTGGAGCTTTCTCCAAGCTTTCTCCATGTGCTGAGCCTTTTTTTAAGTCCTATTAAGGCAGCAGTTCCCAAACATGAGTCTCGGCTTGTGATTGTCACTCCACTGCTGTTTCCAGGATCTTGATAGTATTTAGGGTCCCAGTCCTAAAATGGGGAATTGCTATGTTTGGATTTCCATACCCCCCTAATCCTGAGGTGGCTCACTCTGTTCCCAGTGCTGCCTCTGAACTAGTATGTCGTATTGAATGAGTTGCTTCATTCTTCTAAACCTAAGCTTCCCCTCTTTCTGTTTGAAAAACTAATTGATAGCATGGGTCTTCAAGATAAAGTTTTCTCCCTGCATGTTTTGTTTTATTCATGGCAGGAGGTGATGAACATAACACTTTGAGTTTATATTGCTGTGTATACATAAACTTTAATAATGTTTAGTGTGTTGGTATTGCTCGTGCAGAGTGACCAAATTCTACGACCTGTTCATTTTTCCTATTAATGCATGTTTGTTAAATGACTCCAGCTGCCTAACAATTCATAAAGGATCCAAGTGATAGTCACTCTTACCCGTTACCAAGTGAAGATATGTCATAGCCTGCGATCCCAGTTCAGTGGGCTTTGGAGTTTGGGGAAAGAAATGACAAGTACACAAAATTGCTTGCTCTCCTTTAGAGAGTGAGAAAACCTCTCTTCAGGGCTCTGTATGATGTGTTTGAGGATGGATATATTTCTCCGTGCCCATGCCCTTGCTCTCCTCAGGGACCCCATTACTCTGCAGAATGCAGTAGACCTGCCATGGTGTGGTGCTTCTCCCACAGACAGCAGTGGGTCACCCTCCAGTTTGCAGATGGCTGCACCCATCCCACTTGCCTGTTAGCAAAGCTCCTCTGCAAAGCACTGTCATAACCTCCCTGACAGCTCTGCTACAGGCTTGTAATGCTTCAATACCCCATTCCTCCCTGCTTCCCACTGGTTCCCAAAGGGAAAAAAAAACTTAATCGGAAACTGTCAGCAGAAGTAATTGTGCAGCAGATGGAAAATAGGGCTAGTGAGGATCTCAGGACTATTCCAGACTTCCCAGCCAAAGTCCTGACTCTCCCAGCCCTAGCAGCTAGAAACCCCCTTTTCTACACTGTGCATCCCTTGGCTCCCTCCAGCTCCTGGAAATTACCTGAACTACAGCTAAACTCCAGAAGAGGAGAAATTAGTAGCTGAGGAGGTTTGGATGGGAAATGCACTTAACCTTTGCATCACTATAAATGCTCTATATATTTAAAATGTCCATGAGTAAGTTACCAGAAACACTTTTATACTGGAAAAGGGCAAGCAGCTTTGGAAGATTAACTAATGATATAATTTTTCACTTCTTGTCCAACAACTTAAGCAATATTTCATCTTGCTGATTCTGACGGATGGCGTCATCACAGACATGGCTGACACCAGAGAGGCCATTGTCCATGCCTCTCACCTTCCCATGTCAGTCATCATCGTCGGGGTGGGGAACGCCGATTTTAGTGACATGCAGATGCTGGATGGCGATGATGGGATCCTGAGGTCTCCCAAGGGCGAGCCTGTGCTTCGAGACATTGTCCAGTTTGTGCCATTTAGGAACTTCAAACATGTAAGCTGATTTTCCCATCCATTCCACAGAAGGGTGAATGTGTATGACATAAAAGGGTGAACGGTCCCTGGGGCTGGACCTAACTTTGGATGGGCATGAAGTGTTTAGTAAACATATGGCATTATTGTGTCAGAAATGGAGAAAAAAATGAATACAGAATGAAATGTGCTCCATTAGTGAGATGGTGAGGGTGGGGAAAGAAAAGATGTGGCAGAATCTATGTGCTTCTTGTGGTGCCAGTCCTTAACTCCATTTTCTCCTTGATTTTAGTTTGGTTGCCCTCCCTGACTTATTTTTCCTGGTGTCTCTTTTCCATTCTTTTTGCATCTGTTCTATTAGGAATACTGTATTCTGCTTTCCATCCCTTCATTTCCGCAGGCAGCTAAAATGGCTGTGGATTTGTACTCACAGTGTTCCCCAGGAGGAAATTTAGGTCCCTAAGTTCTCAAAGGCAGGACTATCCACCCACAGCATCCTGGTTGCCTCCAAACCCTTTACCCAAATTTTGTACAAGAACAAATCCAAGGAAGTGCTATTACTGAGAGCTTCCCTGTGCCCTCAGACAGCTGTTCCTGTCTGAGCCCAGCGTGGTGTAGGAGAGGAAGGGAGAGACCCAACATTAAATTGTCAAATTTGAAATAATCCCTTGGCCACGTACTTTTCTTCTCGGTCACCGGCCCTGCATTGCAGCATCTGTCCCAGGGACTTTTTCAGCAACTGGGTAGACAGTGTTCACCCACAGAAGGAGCTTTCCCACATACAGCCACGTTTTTCAGGGCCGTTTTCCTCCATACAGAGGCATGGAATGGCCATTGTGTTCCTTTGCAATGCTGATCACATCCCTTTCCCTCTGTTTTTCCATCTTTTGCTCCCTTCCTTCCCTTCATTCCTTCTGTTATATTTAAGTGGTTCTCCAGACTGTTTTTTTGCTCACCTCAGTGTCTAGGAAGGATATCCTTGGTATTTGATTTGAAAATTTCTTTGCCCCACAGTGTAACTAACTCATTCTCCTCATGAGATTGCCTTTTCCCATCTGCTCTCATACGTTAGTGATCCTTAGATCTGGATTTGTCACACAGAAGTTTTCAGCTCTGGGTTGGTTTTGGTCTGCATATGGATTTGCAGTGCTTACATTCCTTTAGTTTTTCTAGGCTTTTTGTTAGCACAGGAGATTTTCTTTTGTTTTGCTGCTTCCAAATTACCTTCATTTTCTTTTCCTCTTCTCAGTTGTTGTTCTTTTTTCTCACTTCAAAATACAGTTTTGCTATGTTTGTCTTAGATCTAGATGCACTTCTTTCTTTCACAAACTCTACTGAGGAGTAAGAGAAACAGACTTGTTCCTCTTTTCCCTTTACCTTTATGTAAAGAATGAATCCTCATATGCTGTAAAACTCACCTTGTGCTATTAGCTCGGTGATACCATGCCAAATAACTGCAGATTTGCCACTGACTGGTAGATACATGCATTTCTATGTTGATGGTGCCACTCAGTCACCTATTTAGTATCTGCTGGAACAAAGTATGAGACGACCTGCTCATAGCTTGTGATTCTCCTTCATCAGATAATCACAACTGTGTAGTGCTGCACTGTAGTCTATTGTGAAAGTGTTGAGAGGCAAGTTATTTATGGGCTAGTGCTAGACCTACTTTCAATTAGTTGAAAATATGTTTCTGCAAGGAACTGGCAAAGCCAGCTGCATTTGTTATTTTTAGTTTCATTTTGTGATTTTATAACAAAGTTGAAATCATCCTTGATTGAATAGATTAACACTGACAGTTGCAGTTCTGGGCACTGAATATATTGTGCCTCTGGTGTTAACTTGTGAGTGATTCTATGTGTGATTTTAATTGCTAGCATTGGTCAAATGACAAGCATGCATTATTTTTAGCTGGTTTAGATTAACTTCCCCAGTAGTGGGAGAGGATAACAATCTTAAAAATTTACTGCTCTTGTTAAACAGTGATGTTTTTCTCCCCCTTTCTCTCAGTCGCAGAGATAAGATAGATACAGATAGATAATGTATTTGCTATATCAGATAAGTCAATATATTTTATGCAGCTTGATATTTAGTCTTTTTATTGTGATCTTTCAGCATTTCAACAAATGTCAGTGTAATGGATGAGGGCGCATAACAATAGCCACTTCTGGTTAAATTTCTTTATTGTGATATCCCAAATAATCTCTCTGTCTGAACAAAGTGACATTCACAGCTATCTTGCTAACTTATCCTCAGCACAAACAAAAGACCATGCCTTTTGCATCAACTGGTGAAATAATTTTTCATGGTAGAAATGAGTGTGATGTTTTGAATCAAACTTATTTTTTTCCAACAGAAAAATGTGGATTACCCCATTTGGGAGATTTTTGCCAGATCACTTCTGATCACACACAAGAATTACTGTAAATCAGCATATACATTTGACAGCTTTAAGCAAAAGATGTATTTAGTATAAAAATCATGTCCCTTTTGTCAACATACCTTGTGCTTAGTTTTGGTATTTAGGATGTTCAACTATAAAGTAGAAAAAATGCTGAAGGATCTTTTTAGAAAGACTACAAAATGTTGTATAACATTTATAGATTTTTCTGATTATTTATGCCTAAATCCATATTACCCCTACTACTGACAGAATGAGGGAATAAAATGTTATTTGTGAACAATTATTTTTTATTTTGCTGGAACATTAAACCAAAATTCATTTGGAGTCAACCCAAACAATTTTTTTTTTTTTCATTACTTCAATTCTCAGGTCAGCCTGGAACTCAAAATCTCATATCTATCCAAAGAGATCAAAAATAATATATCCAGAAGCTGCCCTGTGAGAAATTGAAAGGAGGGAGAAGGAAGTTGTAAAAATAATCTATAGAGTGAATCTATTTTATAAGTTTGACTTCAGAGAAGGTTCTGATCCTGCATGGCACTCAAACAGGCTTTTAACACATTTCAATGAGTTACAGTTATTCACATACCTAAAACCCCTTACCCACTTTAGTGTTTTACTGGCTCAAGACCCAAGGTAGAAAGAAAGCTTTAATATAGGGTTTTTATCTCCTACACAATGTAGTATATCGGGAATACTTCAGTAAAGTATCTTACCTTTTTGACTTTCTCTTTAAGGAATATCTTTGAAGCTATAAAATAATAATAATAATTGTAGTGATTCTTGGCAAATCCTGTAGTTGCAGAGGCTTGATAAAATCAAGGTAACCGTTACTGTTTAAAAAATGTCCCATTGTATAGTGGATGACATGTGCAATTCACTACATGGGAACATAACAAACAAAGGGAAAATATTTTCCCTGAACCCAAGTGAATTTCTCCTCTCTATAATTATCACCACCCCAGCAATGTGAGTGCCCTTCACCTGAAACTGTAGAACAGCGATGCTCACAATCACTGAAATGTAGTTGAAGAAAATCACTTGTCTCAATCCATTCACAGTCATTTTAAGAGCTGAAATTGTCTGCCTTTAGGACACATGATATATTTACTGCGCACAAATCTGATGCCACAGGTAGATTGTATTCCACTCTGCATTGTATTTAATCATAAAGGCTAACAACTGTGACTTAATAACACATATCACAAATGAGTGTGGAAAGCACAGCTCTTAACCACTGCAAGGAGGAATGTTTTGCACTATGTATTGTAATTAAAGATTAAGTATGGTGAAGCTATAGAACTGAATCAACAATCATTTGTAATATACACCAATTACCATCATAGGGGATTATTTTCCTGCTGCTGGCTGATCTGCTGTTGTGTATTAGCTATCAGCTGAGAACTATTCATCTTGAGGTATTTATTGCTAGGATGCTCTTTAAGCATAGCAGTTAAACAGTGGAGAAAACATTGCAGTAAAACATTAACGTACCATCTGCATTAAAAACCCAGCGAAGGTAACCCTTACACAGCACTGCTGAACTGGGGCTGGTTTTTAGCTCAGAAGTTACTGGGTCTGATTCTTACTTATACAAACACTGCTTTGCACCATCTGGTCTAGAAGTGGGAGTGCTTTGCCACCACAGAAGTATGTAAGGTGCAGGTGGCCCAAATCGTCAGACAGGAAGTCGCCCCTAACCCTGGTTTTGGGATGCTCCCCGCTAGAAAGGGCCCCAGGACCAACAGACATCACCGGCGTGATGAAACTCTGTAAAGCACGAGTTGTCCTTGTTCAGACCAAAGCGCGGAGTCAAGCCAACTACCCCAGCGCAACTCTGTGCGGGGCCACACATTGCCTGTGAGCCTGCGGGCACAGTAAATGCCAGCTTAAACCTCAGTGAAAGGCTTTTTGCTTCACGTGCACGCTGGGCTCAGTTGACTCCTCAAGTGTCAGTGATTGAGCCATTCATCTGAGCTCTGACAGAGCCTGTTGTGAAGGGCTGACCCTTCGGTCGGGAAGAATGGACGTGGCATCAGATGGGAGAGAAATGGCAACAGGAGGATGACGCAGAGAGATGAGTGCTGGCCCAGTGTTCAGACATGCGGATTGCACATGATCCGGAGAAGCTGGTGGCAAGTGCTCCTGCCCAGCATTTTTAAAGATATTGCAGAATGAAGCTAAGGCTTGTGTGTGCAGCAATGGTCCAGGACTCTTCCCCCACTCCCTGTTTTTACCCTTTATGTAGGGTTGTATTTTTGTTAAGATGGCACAGAGGCAGGCTAAGGTGTATACAGCTTTGTCACACTGGGAAGGAGATTAAAAAACCAGTAATTCTCAGTAGCAATATAGAAATCAGCCATTTGCCTGCCTCCAAGGGGTATTTTCTGCTGTTTTCAGTGAAAACAGGTTTAGGCAAGAACAGGCCAACTGTGGAAAACCGTGCATTTCACTTTGAAGGATTAAAATAAATGGGTTCTGTTACTGTGTAACACCTGAGAACAGTTGCTGTGCTGTCACGCAAAGTATGGGCTCTGCTTTGCCAGTTTGTTGGTGCAGAAATGTTCCAGGCTTTTTTGCCTGCACAAATATTTTGGTATAAATGTCACAGTGGGGAAATAGCGGTTCATTTTATTTGTTACTAATCACATATGTGACTCAAAATACCAAAATACAGAAAACAGGGTTTTTTTCTATTCTTGCTAGCATTATCTTTGTATTTGTGGTATTGTAACATTTGATACTGGAATTTATAATAGCCCAGAGGCTTTCTGCAGCCCTGGATTAGATTGCCTATGAATACTTTACAATTTACATCCTATGTAAGCTTAATTTTAAGACTCTGGAAGGATAAGGATCCCACCCCATGAAATAGAGTAGAGCAATAAACAGTTAATACAACTACTTTGTGACATGGTAGTTTTGAAGCCAGCTGGCAATATTACAGACAGTGAGGAGGGAAGTGTTCATTAGTGTGGGAAAAAGTATTTGGTGTGCAGGAGAAATGTGACCCAGCCACCAGTTGAGGAGTTCCCGTGCATCACCTGAGCTGCAATGTGTGATCCACGTGTGCTCTATCTGGAGAGAAACACATTAGTTTAAACCTCTCAAACTGGCGTTTAAGCATTTGCATTTTTACTGCATTTCTGTGGTGGGCTCAGAGGGAACATGGTCAGGCAGGCTGGCTCCAGGGGGGGCTTGGAATCAGCTCTACCCAAATACTTAGAAACAAGCAAAGCCAAAACACGGAGCAGGAGGGTGCTATTGAGCTGCATGGGAGAACAGGAGTCCAGTTTTGTCACTGCTGAATTCAGGGGCTGAGGAAAATCCCTGCAGCACACACAGGTAACGGTTGCCCACAAAACATCCACAGGCCCCACTTTAAAATGAAGCATTGTCAGGGTGTGAGGCAGCAACTGCGTGTTGTCGATGGAGGGCATGGTTTCTCATTGCGCTGAGGGGTAGCCCTCCCCCCTGCCTGGGGTGCAAGCCAGTGGCCATCTCTATATCCATCTCTACATTTCAGGGTCATCACTTCTTAAGTCTGGTTGACACCCACCATTTATACATTGCAGGAGGAGCTTTAAAGCCTCCACAAAGACTAGGATTGAAGCTGTCTCGTGACCATGGTTTAATTCCAATGAAAACAAAATATTTTTTATTGAATTAAAAACTTCCCCAGCCATTAAAACACCATGCCAGATCCTGAAGAGCAGAATGGGTGATGAAGGCCTCCCTTTTACAGTGATGTCCATTCACGTTCAACTTGATGCTCTGCAGGGTTCCTCGCTGAGTGCTGATGAATGAAGTCTTTGCAGCCCTTTTCATTGCGATATGGTGCTCTCCCAGAGTGCAGGGAAGTTCAGTTACCCTGAACTTAAAATAGTCCAAACGGACCTGAAGAACATGCAGAACACTTTTGGCTTTAGTGTGCTTTCAGGCAGCTACAGCTGCAAGCCCAAACTGACTCACAAAATGAGTTTCCAGCAATAGCGCCACTCACTTTGAGTCTTTTTTGCCTTCCATTTCTGTACCATACTTCCCACCTTGATCTCGCAGCACCAGTGCCTCTAAAACCCATAGCATTTCTAGCAGAGAGGTTAACACTTGTGTTTTCTACCATTTCCTGCAGGCATCCCCAGCTGCTCTAGCAAAAAGCGTTTTGGCTGAAGTTCCAAACCAAGTCGTGGACTATTACAATGGCAAAGGGATAAAACCAAAATGTATGTCAGAGTACGAGTCTTCCAGGACACTAGCTCCATGAACCTGCCTGCACTCTTTTACAAAATTAAGAAAGAAAAATGCTACTGTCTACAGCTACTGTACTTAAAAATGAAACAAAAAAATAGCACGTTTTGGTGATTTTTAACTAAAATAACCATTTTTTTTGCATGTGTAGCCTGAAGGCTTAAATCTGTTAAACGGTTGTATTGTTGAAAACTTTTTATGAGAAAAAAACATCCAGGAAAAAAAAAAGTAAACTCTTTACATTACAGCATGTCGCCTTGAAATAAAAAGTTATCTGTATCTGTTTTTTATACAGGTTTGTTGAAATTTTGCTAAATTTCTTATCTTTACACTGTAAAGCATTTTGAAATATTTACTGAGAGTCGATAGCCAAAATGTCTTTGGTTTAATCTGCTACGAACTGAGAGATTTTTCAAAATGGCAGATGCATGAACTGTATTTTGCATGTTTAAAATAAAAACAACACAGTTTTGCAGTTGTTGTCTTTATTTCTCTCTCTGCCACCAGGCTGCCTGCTTTCAATTTCCGTATTCCAAGAAAAGGGTAATCAAGTGTTTCAAGAGATACCTGACCTGAAGCATGGGCATTTTTAATGTTAGCAGCTTATAACATGGGCACCCCAACATGCCCACTCAGTCTGTGCCTGAGAAGCAATTTTTCAAAAGCCTGACACATCCAGCTGTTATGAAGGGTTCAGACCGTAGCTATAAACGGATCTGGCTTACAGGGCATGATCCATCAGGATTGCATGTCTTAAAATATGCCCATTTAATCCAAACGATCTGGCTGGCTTTCAAATGGGTTATATTTTGGCTACCCAAATTTATAATCTCTTATCTATTTTGTTTCTTTTGTTTCATTTGTATTTTTTAATCTCACACCCAATATCCAACTTTGCGTGACACGTTTTTTGAAAGAAATTTTGCACAGCCTGATTTTATGACAACCAGTGATTTGTAACTTCATGCACACACAGATCACTTGTGTGTGATAGAAAAACTGGTTTTGTACCAAAATAATATTCAAGCCACCTTTTTTTTTTAAAAAAAAAGAGGACACACAAGGACAGATTGGCAGTGGATTGATCTTCCCATTGAAATATTTATGTATATAAATGATGAAATTAGATCATTGTTATTCTTAGTGTTTGAATTTTGGCTTCTTCATTTGCTAAAAGACAATAGTGAAAGATGTGACTTGTTAGAAGTTAAGGATAAAAGTTGACCAAAAATAATTTGCGTGGGATTGTCTGAACAGCATGGTTTTGGATGAGTTGTGCTCCCACACTAACTTGAAAACATTCTTGTTGCTAGTTCCAGAAGAATATGTTTTGGGCCAGTGCTGAATATTTTGGAAAATCTCACGTGTGAGCAAGGGGTTTTGGTTTTAGAAATACGTGTTTTTAAATGAGTTTGCAGGCAATATAAAACTCTAGCTCCCTGATTCTCCTTTAGAAGATCTCCATGGGATCAGCTTTGATTGATGATTTTGTACCATAAAATGAAGGCAATGGCATAGCCAAGATGCATGGGGCTGTCTCCCCAGCACATTCGGTTCTGCTCCATCTATATCCCGCAGTGCAATCGTTCACGCTTGCTAGTAAAGATTCCTTCAGCTGATCGGATATTGAACAGCAGCCAGTATTACTTGGTCATAGGTATAAATTGTCTGAAGATGTCCCGACTGATAGATCTCAAATCCACATTTCCATTTAATGGCTGACTGTTCATTTGAGAGCTTACCCCAGCAGGCTGCACATCTCTCCCTCTGTGGATGTATTTCAGCTGGAAGCTACTGTGATTTTTCCTTGTATCTCATACACCACTCTGCCAACGTATCTTAATTCTTATCTACAACATCTCTAGTTTCTTATTCCCATTTTCCCCTTTTTTTCTTTCCTTCCCTATTCTCAGAAGGGGCATTTTCTAGCTGTTAAAGCACATGACTGAAAAGTCAATGACTCCATCCTCTTTGCTCCTTCAGTATTTTATTTTGTAATCTTGGGCAAGTTGTTTAACTTTTCTGTACCTCAGATTCTTCATCTCTAAAATGAAGGTCACTGCCATGTATTCATAAATACCTCACAATGGTACTTGGGGGACTTTAATATTTGAAAAGTGATTTGAGATACTCAGAGCCATGATGGTGCTCTCACCACGTAAAGAGTATTACTTTACCCTGTGCATGGATTTAGGGATGTAATGTACAGCTGAGGAGGGGTTAAACATTTTCTTCATTATTTGCCAGACTGAAGGAAAGTAAAAGAAAGCTTTCAGCAAGAAAAATTAGGAATCAGATAAATTGTTCTTCTGGTACATAGGATCTTTGGCTAAACTGATTTTTGAAGTGATCATGGTTACATGGAATTGGGCAGTTACAGCTCTTCATTAGCAGAGGTGTTAACAACGTGCTTCTACAATGTAGCATCACATAAAATGCAGGCATCAACACGTGGTTGTTCAATGGTTATTGTATGCTGAGCTATATAAATCATCAGTCATTTTCATGTATGTAGGTGGTCTATATAAGTATCTCAAGAGAATCACAGTTACTGCAGATCTTTCGGTTTACTTCACACAATCCAGGTTATAAATGTTGTCAACTTAAAACCAAATAATTATCAGTGGTAATATAGATCAGCAATACTGTGGCAGCCCTCAAGCTATTTGAAAAGATACTGAAAAAACAATTGGAAATCTTCAATCTATATAGATTCCAGCATGTAAAACAAATATGTAATAGTGTGGTGAGCTGGTGTAGGAGAACGCATAGAGAAAACTAGCCATATGGTAAAGGCTCTCTAATGAGGTTTTGAATGTTATTTTCATTGCTCCAAGTTACTCAGTGCAATAAGACAGTATGGGCTTTGTGCAGGGTAATATCATTAAGTATATGAATATATCTCTGAAATGGCATTTTTTCTCCTGTTTTATCTACTTAGGGTTTTAGCAAGGCCATTCTGCCTTTAGGCAGAACCACCATCAATTTTTCTCATAGATTCTTTTATGCAAATTTAAACTTATACTGCCTTTTGATGGATCATTTTAAATTCTGAAAACGCCTTTAAAATAAATTATATCTCGTCCTTTTGAGGTAATTGATGATCTAAAATATCTTCTTTGCATACAGCAATCCTGCCTTCCTTTTTACTGTCTCTCAAACCAAATGGGATTCAAAACCCAAGTCCCAGAATACTCGAAGATATTCATGAACCCTATTAGCCCAAAATACATTAACATCCATAATTCTTGAACCAGACACTGAGCTGAGTTGTATTTTTAGTTGTGTGGGGGAAACTAAGTCCAGAATAATAAAAAAAAGCACTAATACACTGCTAATTGCTTATTACCCTAAGGTAAAACCTACCTGTGTAAAGTTCTTAGCATGGTAAGCAATGTAGTCTTCTATAGCATTTGATGAAAAAGTCTACAGGTATGAAATGAAGATGAAATTATAATAATAGTATCGCTTTAAAATATGTCTTTTAGTCTCCAAATATCAAAAGTAGACAACTGATGACAGCTAAAAGGTTTGCAGTTTGATCCATTAGCAGCCTGCTGAGTGGGATGGAGAATGGTGGTTTAAGCCAAGGCTTGCTGCAGGTTGCAGAGATGATATTCCAAAATGCACAGGTAGAAGGCCCCTGCTCTGAGCGGATTTGTATGACAGAGCCTTGCAGGTCTGCAACACTCAACTACATCCCCTGGGCTTACCCACACAGCAAATACTGTGACACGGTGGGTGGCTTAGTGAGCCTCATTATTTTATTGCAGTACCATCTTTGCTGACGAGTTAAGCAGAGCTGCCTCCTTCAGCTTGGCTCTCCAGCTGCTCAAACAGGACATGGCTTACTCCCAGAAAGAACCCAACTGGTTATTCAGATTGACCTTTCTCACTTGGGATTACAGGTCTTGCAGTCACACCTGCTATGTAAATCTAAACTTATCTCCTGCCTTTCTGGAGAGAAAGAGGTACTAGACAAACTCCCTTTACTCCCAAGTACCATTGACATTTCAGGCACAAAACATAAGTACATTTACACTCGTGTTTTTTTGGAATGGGAGGGATGAGCTGGAGGACTCCTAGATGAGGTTACATTCCTCAGGTTGTTTTTTCCCCTTTATTTACAGAAAGTGCCATTTGCCACAGAGAAAATACAGAAGCACGTGCATGAAAGCCATTGGTAGTTTTCTGGATCACAGTTTTGGGTGCAAATGACAAAATTCTGCTCACTGTTACCCACTCTGAGGTGCCCGCAGCCTCTGTTGGATCTGGTTAGCTGGCCACAAGCCTCGAGTGCAACACACACGCATACCACAGTGGGAAAGAAAATAGAGAGGCAGGGTAAAAAGGAGAAGCAATGACGGACTTTGGCTCGCTGCACTGAACAGTCATGAATCTTTAAAATTATTAGAATGTTGAAACCAAAAGGGAATCTTGGGTTCATACCCATTCACTGTCCTACCTAGTGCACTGTCAGCTGTCCTGGTGCCCTGCTCAGAAAAAAGGGTGAATCAATTCTGAATACAGACGAAAGCCAGATCTCACTGAAGCCAGAGAGGCACAGGTACCAGCCCTGTGCCAGGCTGCCCAGAAATCCTCTGTCTGGCCCACCTGCGTTAACTTTGCCAGTAACGTCACTGACTACAACATTAAATATAACACTTGCCACAAACATTGCCTTCATACGTTTACATGGCCTACCCACTCGCAAGGAGCTCCTGAAGCAGTTAAGCCTCACACACTGCAGTGGTTTGATGAAGCAGAGGTTTCTGCCCGAATCTCCCAGGTGTCCGCTCAATGCCTGCATGGTGGGGGAAGGTTTTGAATCCACACGAGGGTCCTGCAACCCTGTGTGCCTAAGCGATGCTTGCCAGCGATAAATTTCACCCACCACCAGACACTTATTTGTCGGATTTTGCCAGCTCACGGCCGGAATGGAGGCATGGGAGCGATGGCAGCGCCGGCGGGGTCAGGAGAAAGGGCGCCCACAGCTATTTCTGCACGCCCTCTCCCACCACCCCCTCAGGTGAGGCCTTGCCCCCCGCCAGAGA